TCCTGCTTTTACTGTGATTCTTGTTTTTTTTGAAAATGAGACATCGTAAACCATTGTAAGCTCTCTCCTGAACCCTTGAAGACAGCAGTTGTTACCCCACATCACTCAATACAGCTGCAGTAGCTGCATTTTTACTTTCTCTGTGTGTTTGGTGTTCGATTCTGCTAGCACAGACCCCTGCAGAATATGGTAGCTGTACTGTGCTTCCCACCCACACTTCAAGAAAGTTGCAAAGAACTGCAGAACATGCGAGGCTTAATCTTTATGGTTCAGTTACTAACTATAGGCTGGTCTGTGAAATCCGAGTGGCTTCTCTATCACCCCTCTCCTTGGGTAAGGTTTTGTGCAGAGTTCAGTGCTGAAGCCCAGCTGCTGAGGAGCTGACAGTTTCTGCAATACTTCAGTGAAACCCAGAGATGAGCATGTTGCCATCAGCCTCTTGCCAATACGTAGTTTATAATCTTCAAGCTCCTCTATCTATTGGAAAAGGGAAGATTTTATTCCACAATAGGTCTGGTGTGTCTAATAAGTACAATCAGGAACTCAGCTGTGAAGAAAACAAAATTTGTGTCCAGCTACTTGCTATTTGACCACCATTTATGCTGTGTGCTGAACAAGACAGGAGTTGGGAGATGGTGTGTGAGAAATCAAAGGCTACATGGCGTGACACGTGCATAAGCCATAAGGTTTTCCGTCAGCCAGTCGTTTTTTATTTCAGGTTTTTCTTGATTTTTGAATTGCTCAATTCTGTTGCAGCCTGTGCAGTGTTCTTTGCTGTGTTATGTGTGAGTGGGCCTATAGAAGTTTGCAAGAGCTTTTTAGAGAGCTGTCACAGAAAGCAAAAATCAAAACGGTGCACGCAGGGGTGATGCAGTAGTAGTCTGTACAGGTGCCTTCGACTTGAGCAGTGAAGTAAGGGGCAGCAGTTGGTTGTCATCCTCTTCCTGGTTCATCAGGATTGCAAGAGGAGCACAGCTGGTCAGGAGCCTTTGTGGTTAACTGCTGACAGTAGTGGGATAGTGGGAGTCTGGACTCCTGGATTCTGTTCTGTATCAGGAAGGGAATTTGTTCTCTTGGGCACAGGCTCCTTTTCCAACCTGACACCTGATTTCTCAAACATGAGCCCCCTGCCCTTCCCCAACTTAGTTCTTGATCTTTTTCCTGCTGCTCATTTGGAATTTTCTGGATGTCTTGG